TACAAGTTGTGGGGTATTAATCATGTTTTATGATTTTGAAAAAAAAAAGACATCCAAATATGTTGCAAAAATTATAACCAAACAGTAACTTCATCTTCAATTCAAATTTTAGTGAAATTCCAAATTTGAAGAGATAATTTTATCCATGGTCATTAAACTTTTGTGTTTGTTATCCAAAAGTCACTTTTTTTTTGTTACGCAAAAATCATTCAACTTTGAAGGTTTATATAATATTAAGGGCATAATAGACTTTTCAAGTAAAGATGTGACTTTTGTGATAACTAGAGTAAAGTAAAATAATTTTTGTGTAACGAAAGAAAGAAAAGTGACTTGTGTGTAATGAATACAAAGTTGAATGATTTTTACGTAACAAAAAAAAAAAGAAAAGTGACTTTTGGGTAACAAACCCAAAAGTTCAATGACCATGGATAAAATTATCTCAAATATGAAAAAAAAAAAAAAATAGGAACCATATCCAAATGCCTACTTAGATCTTTACTGCGCTACCTGTTGTTTCTTCCACTTCGTTTTCCGTATTATCTTGTTTTGTTGTTGTTATTGCTCTCTTTTTTATTTTTCCTTGAGACGAGAGTCAATCACGAATATCTCTACCTTTACAAGGTAGAGATATGTTTTACGTATATACTATCCTTCCGAGATTGCACTTGTGGGATTACACTAAGTGTGTTGTTGTTGCTGTTGTTAAATATTGTAGTACTGGATATATTTGTTGATCTTATGCTTTTATTATTTGGGGCATGCAGATTTTGACTTTGATCCAGAACTTTACAATTTGATGCAAGTATCAAGAAGAGAATACGGTCTTTGCACTGCTGATCACCCTTTCAAAGTTTACACTGATGGTCCAGCCAACATTACTTTGATGGAGCCAGGAGTTTTTTACTATATGTGTAGCATCTTAAACTACTGTGCTTTAGGCCAGAAATTGAGTACTGTCACTGTCCTTCAAAACGACTCATCCAACCCCTCGCCTTCGCCTCCCCCGGGTTAGCACAGCTCGATTGCCACCTTTTGTTGGCAGGGATGGATATAGAGATTCAGCAAACTTAGTAGCTAATTAAAGTTAAATTTATGTATGTGTTAAGAAATCCATAAAATAAGAATAAATATATCAAATTCCAAACCTAATTATTAGTACTTGAGATTACAATCCTAAAATCTCGAACTCGTAAAATCACCACTTTCTGCTAGAACCAAATACTACTGTTTTCCTGGTCTCTCTCATTAGCTTTATTTGCTGTTCAGATTGATCTTGTAGCCTACAATGGAGTTATATCTTTGGATGGTTTGAATTTGGTGTTATATAAGTGTTTATACTTTGTTTTTAAGACATTGTATTAATTATGATATATTTAGAGTTTTGTCCGCATGCCTGGTTACATAAAATTTCTGCTGAAATTATCGCACATTGTGAATGTTTAGATGCTCCAATCATAAGGAATCCCAACTTGTTTTGGACAGAAAGCATTGTTTATTATTATTGGTGTGGTGATCATATATAACTCATGTCGTGAATTACTATTGTAACTTTTGAAATGATCTATTGATTGAACAGAGGATGTTAAAGTGGTAACGTAGGCTGATCTTTGTGAGAAGCCGCAGTTTCATTAGAAACAATGTAATTTTGATCCTTGAACCCAAAATTCAGGAAACCAACATTCTTAAATCTAAAATGCATGCAACACCTAATAATTGATCTAGACAAATCTCATGTTGATTGCTAAGCAGTTAGTCCAGGCATATATGCTCCCCCCCCCNAAAATTGAATTAGTAGGTAATCTCCTATTTAGTGTTATAACCAAATAGAAATTGCAAAATACATAGTTTACCTATTTCCACCATGGGCAACCTTTTATATTAACCTTTATAGAGTGTGTCTAAGACACACTAATGTGGTTGATGCGTATTTTTACTAACAAATGAAGCTCGTCAACCGTAGACTTTGTATCATATGTCAATTTTTTAGTTTTTTTTTTTTAAAATTTAAAATACGGTCATCTTCTTTCTTGTTTAAAAAAATCACTAAACCTGTCACAGGTGCTCCTTGACACTTAGACCCACTTCTCTCCACCTGATCTACTTCTTCTCAAATAGACCCACCAAGATTTCTCATATCTTTTCTTGTTAATTAGTCCTTAGCTTTGTCGCTTTTTGTTGTTGTTGAGAAATTGTAATTAGAATTCAAAAACTAAAGCTCTTTGTAGCTCCACTAACCATTAAAGCTTGGCTTAAAGCTTATGTACAGAAGATTCTTCTTTTTTCCACAAAAGCTTAGCTTGAGCTTTTGTCGTGGCTAAGTTAAATTTTTGAAAGGGTGAAATTTTCAAAAAAATTCTCAGCCATTAAAGCTTAGCTCAAGCTTTTCCAGATAAGCACATTCTTTAATTTTGTTAATGGATTAAGTTACAAATAATTAAATGGTAAATTCTTAATTTTCTTCGCTAAGAAATTCACTTAGCTCTTTATTATTACCACCTCACTGCTTTCAGAGGGGGATTCAGGATTTAAACTTTATGGGTTCAATTTTAAAAAAAATTAACATTGAACCCATCATATTTTTAAAGTTATGGGTTCATATCTATTATTTTTGCAATTTTAATGAATTTTTACACATAAATTTTATCCCGCGTCGAAAGTTATGGGTTCAATTGAACTCGTAACTATCACACTGCCTACGCCCCTGGCTCCTTCAATTGTGGAAATCAAAAGAGCACAAAAAGAAAATGAATGCATGATGATGACAGTTATATATGGTAGACAAGATGAAGGAGATGGGGATAATTGTAATTTTATGTGCTATCACGGCCTTATTGGCTCATGACAGTACACATGCTTTGAAAATTTGGTTAAGAAAAAAATGGTGTGTCTTAGACACGCTCTATAAAGAGTAGAGATATAAAAAAGATTATCTGTGATGAAAGGGTGTGTAACAAGAATTTGGACACAAGATCGATGAGCAAACTATGTATTTTGCCAATAAAAATGTGAAATGTGGTACTCGACGAAGATTATTTGATGGATAAGAATGTAAATCATCCCAAATGCTTGACATTAATTTTGAACACCGCATTCATAAAAAAAAATTCAATATTTACAAATAGTATTTGAAATACTGGTGAAATATTAAAACTTATTTTTAGGAGCATTTCAAGTGAAAAAAATAATTTACACTTACGATTCTTTAAGTTTTTTCTTTTTCAAGTAAAATATATATTCAAACACAATTTCAATTTTATATTTGTTATATATATATATATATATATATATATATATCAAAAGTGTGGATATATATTTAAATATTATCCGAATATCTTTTCAGACGACGTCAGTAGGAAATAATCTAAATAATATAGGGTTTACCAACTCTAGTGACTAGTAATTAGAATGAAACGATCAAGAATCCACCTGTAAATTAAATTAAATTGCAGCTGCCCTGACACCAACCAAGTGTTAGTCTAACTGGCTATCTATTTATTTTATGTTTCTACGCAAAATAAAAAAGTATTAGCCTACAATAATTAGATGCGCACGTAACATATAGCCAGTGGATCTGTACATGAGGATTAAATAAATTTGCTTGATTGACTAAATCACCAAATCCCTGGTAATTTATTGTTAATATACAACTTTTCTTCTCTCGTTAAACTCTTCTGTATCCTTAACTTCATCTGTAATTTTTCATCAATTAATTGCGTCATTCGTTGTGCACAAGAGTATTCTTTTTATTTATCCTCCGGAGCTTCCCACTTTGCCTACTCGAGATGCCTCGAACTCGAACCTAACTGAAAATGAACGATATTTATTACTTATTCTCTTTGGTCAAGAATTTGAATTCTCTCTTAGTCATCATTATATCAATATGCCCAATCGCGACTCTCCAAGGGGGTATTCTAATTGCGAAAATATCACAATTTGTATTGTGGTATAACGAGTTCGAATCTTAATGATCTAGAAATTACAGTTTTAATTTCTAACTATGCTTAAAAAAAAAAGACGAACAATCAACTTTTTTATCTCCAAACATCAAGTCAATGCACACACATGTATATGTAGCAAAATTATCAAAAACTTTTACGCTATGTTTCGAATAAGAGATCATAATTTAATTGATTTTGATTTTTATGCATGGATAGATTATGATCATTTACATGCCAATATTTAAAATCTAAAAGTTTGTCAGAACAATAATTTCTTTGCATCTCCAGATCTCTAATATGCCCTCCACTATATATGCCTTGGAACTCGTATAGTATAAACCACTTGTTTTTTTATTTGCCAGCTCAAAGCCATTTATGCCATCAGTGAGGAAGCTAAAAATTTCTTAGGTGTTCAAATTTGAAGAAGTCGAAAAAATTCGCCGATAAAGAATGTTCAATATTTATTATATACCTCTAAAACTTAATATTTTACCTATATACACAATCTAATTTTTTCACGAAAGGTGGTCAAATTGACTATATGCGTGATTTGCCTTATTCCTTATTAATTCTTCGATTACAACTTTGCCTGTTTATTTCGTTGGCATATGGCAATCAATTCACATCATTGTGTGGCTATTTTCAGTGTATGTGAACAAGAAAAAGAAAACTCTGCCTGAAATAAATATTATGATGGTGAGCTTTGGGGTAATTGTAAAGTCATTTCTGTGTGACTTATAGGTCACGGGTTCAAGTGGTGAAATCAGACACTAATGCATGCATTAGAATAGGCTACCGTAGGATGCTTCGTATATTGGGCTATTTTTTTTTTTTAGTTTTTTTTTTGGGGTGGAGTAAATTAATACTACACCAATAGGACCAGAGAAAATAATTTGAAGATCAATGTAAGATTAGAATTTTGAGCAAGTTTCCTTTTGTAGGACTTACTATATTAATTTGTACATTTGAATTTTGAAGTAACCTAGACTGTATAGTACTTTGCAGTATTTACCGGACAAGGAAAACATGAACAGAATAAAAAAGAATAAATTACAGCAGAGGAAGAAATAATACTAGGTGATTTCTTTTCATCTACTTAAGTTTTGATGGACGAAGTTATCACGATAATGGTACAGGTGAAAGGCGGTTTGATACCAAGTAAATTAGCCGAAATGCATATCAATGATCCGAAAGTATTATAAAAATTTAAAGTACAAAGAACTGAAAAAGAAAAGAAATCATCTACCTTCTTGAATTTGTTGATGGGGAGTAACTAATGGACTCAAATTCCCTTGTTGCATGAGAACCACTTTCTTTTTTGTATAACCATTTGGTATACAGTATTCATTGATCCGACTAACCTATCAAAGAGGAACCACCTCAACCAAAGGAGAAGGAAGTGGAGAATTTCTACAAATAGGACAAGTGGGATGAAGCCTAGGCCAAGGGTCAATACACATGATATGAAAAAGATGGCCACAATTAGGCAATAGCCTAAGCATATCTTTATCTTTATAATCAGCCAAACAAATAGAACAGCCAGAAGAAGATGCAGTGTCACCTACTTTGTGTGCATATAATAACTTTGGATAGGTCCGTATAGTATCTTCGTCAATACCTTGTTGAATAATAATCATTCCATTTTCAACTGTCGTTATTGTTGTGGCAGAATTATTGCGAGATCGCATTCGAATGTACAAATAAGAAGCATAAGTTATGACTATAAGGATTATAATGATTCCAACAGAAAATATAAAGCCATAGCCAGAGTAATTTAATCTGTTTTCACCTAGTTCTTCAGGAGTGCCTTCACTCAGTTCACCACCTTCCATATATGGGAATGAAGTCAAGAAAAGTATGTATTTTTTTTCTTTTCTAAAAGAAATTGTGGAGAAAAGACGGGGTTTTTGAACTTTGGATGGTGGGGAAGATGAGTTTGAGAGAAAGAGAAAAGGAAATTAAGTTTATATATGTATGAATAATAAAAGATGTCACGAAAGATCAAGCAACTTACCAGCCAAGGTTGGTGATGGATTTTATATACCTCTTCATTTTTAACTAAAGGTAAACTTTCCGGCACAAATCTAAATATAAGGTACCTCAAAACTGATATCAAATACAAGGTGAAAAAAAATAAAGGTTTTTTTTCTTTTTGTGAAAATTTTCTTTTTCTTTATTTATTTGAAGGGATGGAAGTTGAGTGTGTGTTATGGGNGGCGTTTGATAAGTGTTGAATATTAATTTTTATTTTTCAAATTTTTAAAAAATGATTATCAAGCAAATAACATTAAAGAATTTTTTGTTTCAGTTTTTGCAAAAATTTAAAATACATCGAGAGTAATTTTTTAAGGTTTTCAGTTATTGCATAAACTAACAAAGAAATCTCTAATGACATTTGGTTGAAATAAAATCAAATTTTAACTATTTTCGCCGGTTAAAAAATAACAAAATAAATTTGGGAAAAACTTTTTCACCTGCTTTTGAGACAAATGCTAGTCTATGCTCTATCAATTTAGGAAGTTGACTCATTTAGTGTCAGTCAAAAGGTATTTTTTTTTTTTTTTTTTTATGTTTGAAATTAACCGGCTGGTGGAAGGAAAACTCGTGCAGAAAATTGGAGTTGGAGAGGGAGTACTATGGTAGGTTAGAGTCGGATCTGAGATTTGAAGTTTATGAGTTCTTGTAATTCTCAAGTTGATATAAGATACTCTTTCTGATTCACTTTAATTGTTTTTTTTGTACTTTTAACATATTACATATTAAAGAACTTATCTTTTAGTATTTATTAGCAATAAAATTGATTATATTATTGAAGTGTGTTCACGAAAAATATAATAAATACTCATAGGTTCTTTACTTTAAGGACAACTTAAAAAAAATTAATTCTTTTTTGATATTTGAAAAAAAATATTGTGAATAACAAAAAAAAAATTAATTAAAGTAAACCGGAGGGAGTAATAATTGAGTTCCCTGTCAAATATTTATAAAATATATATTTGTCTGGCAAAAGCTGCCTAATGACTCAGCTTTTGTGCTTTGTGTAGGTTGAATTATTTGTCATAATCTCTTATAAGAATCTATAGTAATACAGTTGTGTTAAGATTACAATAAGTTTATTGATGCCAAAATTGAGATCGTAGACTTGCTCCTTTTCCAAAATATTCCTTTTTAAAATACACATAATTGGTCCTTTTTGTTAAATCCATTTGGCTAGAAAGGTTACTCCCTCATGTCTACTTTAATTGATTTTTTAGTTGTTTTCATACGTATTAACAAATCCACCTATTAAAATTAATTAATAATAAAATTGACCAAATTACTCTTAATTTGTTCATTGGAAATATAACAAATATTACTAAGTTTTTTACTCCAATGCCAACTTTGAAAAAAATAAGTTAATTCTTTCTTGATATTTGAAAAAATTAAATATCGTACGTAGACCATAAAAAATAAACCAAAAAATTAATTAAAGTACCGGAGGGAGTATCATTTATGATATTCTATTTAAAATTCGTATGAGTATTTCTAGGTGATCCAATAATAATGCATTTAATATAAATTTCTCTTCACTAATTCGTTTAAGAAAGGATACTTAACCAACTTGATTGAAAAATAAAATTGCAGATGAAACAGATAATGATAGTGCTAGAAATCAAATTGCAAATCGTTGACTTTATATCAACACTTGGTGTCACGGACGTCATGGTTTTTTTAGAATAAAGTTTTTGGTTCATGTAAGTTGATTTAAAGACTTCGGAATTATGTTCATGCCAATAAAATTTACTTTTTTATACATAATTAATTATATAGAAATAGGGTGCACAAAGGAAACCGACAAATCGCACTAAATCAATAATCCGAACAATAACAACAACAACAACAACCCAGTGAAATCTCACTAGTGGAGTCTGGGGAGGGTAGTGTGTACGCAGACCTTACTCCTACCCCGAAGGAGTAGAGAGGCTGTTTTCGAAAGACCCTCAGCTCAAGAAGACAAAAAGGCAAAAGAAGACAATATCAATAACACCACAGAAATAATATAAAAATAGGAACAACATGAACTCAAGAAGAAGGATACAAAGCAAAAGCGAAGTAGTATCCCTACCAAACTAGTCTCACAAAGTTATGGCATAAGGCAAGACTCAACTACCTCCTAACCAACAACCCTAATACTCGACCTCCACATATTCCTATCAAGTGTCATGTCCTCGGAAATCTGAAGTCTCGCCATATCCTGCCTAATCACCTATCCGCAATACTTCTTAGGCCGCCCTCTACCTCTTCTCGTGCCCTCCACAACCAGCCGTTCGCACCTCCTTACCAGAGCATCTGGGCTTCTCCTCTGAATATTCCCGAACCATCTGAGCCTCGCTTCCCGCATCTTGTCATCAATGGGAGCCACACACATCTTCTCCTGAATATCATCATTCCTAATCTTATCCATCCTAGTATGCCCGCACATCCACCTCAACATCCTCATTTCTGCTACCTTCATCTTCTGGATATTTGAGTTCTTAATCGGCCAACACTCAGCCCCGTACATCATGACCGCCTAACCACCTCTTTATAGAACTTACCTTTGAGTATCAGTGGCACTCTCTTGTCATATAATACTCCAGATGCTAACCTCCACTTCATCCATCCTACCCCAATACGGTGTGTGACATCCTCGTCGATTTCCCCCTGGATAACCGACCCAATGTACTTGAAGCTGCCTCTACTCGGGATGACCTGTGACTCAAGCCTCACATCCACGCCCACTTCCCCCCTGCTCAGCGTTGAACTTACACTCCATGTATTCCGTCTTCGTCCTGCTAAGCTTGAAACCCTTAGATTCAAGAGCCTGTCTCCAAAACTCCAGCCTCTAATTAACACCGGCCCGCAACTCATCAATCAGAACTATGTCATCGGCGAATAGCATGCACTATGGCACATCCCTTTGAATATGGTGTGTTAACGCATCCATCACCATGGAGAATAGGAACGGACTGAGCGCAGAACCTTGGTGTAACCCCATAGCAACCGAAAAATCCTCAGAGTCGCCTCCTACTGTCCTAACCCGAACCTTTGCCCCATCATACATATCCTTAATCGCCATAATGTAGGGAATCGACATGCCTTTTGCCTCCAAGCTTCTCTAGAGAACTTCTCTAGGAACCTTGTCATACGCTTTCTCTAGGTCAAAAAACACCATGTGCAGGTCTTTCTTCCTATCCCTGTACTGTTCAACCAACCTCCTAACAAGGTGTATAGCTTCTGTATTAGAACGACTCGACATGAAATCAAACTGGTTATCGGAAACAGACACCGTTATCCTCAACCTCGCTTCAACCACCCTCTCCCACACTTTCATAGTATGACTCAATAATTTGATACCCCCATAATTGTTACAACTCTAGATATTACCCTTGATCTTATACAGTGTAACTACCGTACTCCACCTCCACTCATTCGTCATCCTCTTCACCTTCAATAACATTCAACAACCTAGTCAACCACTCCAAACCTGTTTTCCCCACACACTTCCAAAATTCTACCGGGATCTCGTCAGGCCCGGTCGCTCTGCCCCTACTCATCTTACTCATGGCTCCCACGACCTCGTCAGCCTTGATGCACCTGCAGTACCCAGAGTCTCTGTGACTCCCGGAATGCTCCAATTTACCTAACACAATATCCTAATCCCTGATCACGGCCTACTCCGCACTACTATTGAGTAGTGAGAGAGGGTCAAAGCAACTTTTACCCGATTTAGGGTCGGGATCGATTTCCACAGAGAGCTAGAATTTGGAATCGAGTATCTATCTAGTTTAGGATTGCGTATATGTTCCAAATTACACTTCTAATCATTTTTGGGGTTTTCGTTTTACATAAGCAGCTAGATTAAGCTAATAGTTAATCTAAAAAGGGTTGTTCAAATGGTTTAAAAGACACTAGAGTAATGACTTTCACCTAGGTGATTAATTGACGGGTAATTGAATCTAAGACACGATTGGCATAATTGGGGAGTATGATATAACCGTTGCACGATATTACCCACTCTACACCTCTCGGTGGTTCGAGTGATTTTGCCCTAATTGACTTTCTTAAGACCAATTGGGTATGCAAATTTGCACAAGCAACTAGGGTTCAAGTCGGGTATTACTCTCTCGAGGTTTAACCCTTTAATTGGGGCTATCAATCTCTTGAGTATGTTCCAATTCCTTGTTGGACCAATTTCGGAGACTTAGGCTCTCTTTCTCAAGAAGAGCCCTAGTCAACTAAACACAAACTAGTATTTACAACCACTAATTCAGTAATTAACCATGAAATTGGCCCAAATATCAAACACACATAGTCAATCTAGCCTTAAAATACAAGACCCATCAATTACTCACACTAGGGTTGAGACACAACCCTAGCTTATGGGTCTAGCTACTCATAATTAAAGAAAAAAAAGCAAGAAATAGATGAAGAACAACTCATATTAATTAATCACTAAGGTAAATAACAAGATTCAATGATGAAAAGTAGAAATTACCCAAAATGGCCAAGAAAGTCGAACCCACGAGCGCAGCTACGTTACAAAAACTACTGATACCCTAAAAATGGGAAAAGAAGCTATTGATACTAAGCTGAAAATTCTGGACAAAAATGCCCCTGCGGGGTTAGTGCGGACCGCACAAAATAGTGTGCGGCCGCACTAGGGCTCTGAACTTAAAAATACAGCTCTCTGAACTTGGGCAATGCGGACCGCACATAATGGACTGCGGCAGCATAGGCTTCTAGTGCGGTCCGCATAAAATGGACCGTGGACCGCATATGCTTCAATCCTCAAATCTGGCACCTCTCTGATCTTGGGTTCTGCGTACTGCACTAAATTGAGTGCGGCCGCATTGGCTTCAATGCAGACCGCACAAAACCTAGTGCGGCCGCATTGCATCTTTGCTTGGAAATCAACCTCTCTGAATCTCCTAGTACGGACCGCACAGAATGGTGTGCGGTGCACTGGGCCTGCTTTGCCTGAGCTTGTCTTGTCTTTGGCATTTGTGCAAGTTTCACTCCTTTTGAGCTGATCTTTGACATCTTGTCAC